GTACTGGTGGCATGAGCAGAACAGATGGGTTGCAGTGGCTTTTTGCTATCTTTCTACTTCATATATTCTTGATGAAGTAGTAGGGAGCTGCTTCAACCTGTGGTACAAAATGTAAGCAGTCTCAGGGCTTTGCTAACTTGCACCAGCTAGAACAGCCCCTAGGCACTGTTCTCCTGCCTTCAAATCAACACAGTTGAGCCTGCTTCACTCAATATGCCAGGTATATGCCAGGAGTGAGTGGTATAGAGCCAGCTATGTGTCTCTGCACTACCCAGATATTCCCCTATAAAGGAACCACTATGCATCCAGCTGGTTAGTTGCTATATCTCCTACTTGGTGCTCCTGGAATGATGGTGCACAGAGGATGGCCGGGGTGGGGAGTCTGGCCACCATACCTCTATGGCAGCAGACAGATATCATCCTTGTTCAGACATAATACTTTTTTATGGAAGGATAAAATGCAAGCATGCAGATGTCCTTGCCCCTTGTCATGACACAAATGCCCAAAAATGGGCTGTACAATTCCCACTAACAGTTTTTGCCACTTTATGGTGATGGATGTCTATAAGCTTATGATGTAATACATGTGCCCCAGAAATTCTCCTGAGCAGGATTCCAGGGGTACATATTTCATGCTGCCTAGCCCCAACCCCAGGCAAATGTCAGCAACCACAGAACAGAGATCCCATGGGGGATTCCCTAAGCCTGCAAACCTACACCCTGGGTCAGGCCTGAAGCCATGGCAGTAGCAGGGTCCTGACCCTGCAGGACAACAGCTCTGGGTGACACCTGTTCCTACCAATCAAGCAGATAATCTGTTCTGGGACACATCCTGACACAGCTCACCTTTCTATAAAAACATTTTTTGTAGCCTATGTTACAAGTATGTCACATCCTATTGTCCTCACTTAAACTATGAGGTTATTTGGTCCTCATCAGTAATGTCTAAGCACCTCCTATGTGTTTATATTAAGTAATAATTTTTATATTAACTAACAATTGTTATAATTGCTCCCTCTCATCCAGCCCAGAGGGAGGCAATGTTTTTGGCTAGAGTGCTAAAAACCCCACAATGTCTACCTGGTAAGATGCCTGAGTGCTGGCATGCCAGAAAAACAAAACCCAGGCAGGAGGTACATGTCAGGATGCACTGCATGTTAATAATCATAAATGTTGCTTTTTCTTTACAGTAAATACCAGGTTTTCTAAAAATTCTAACCCTGGTGACGATAAATAAAACTTCATATACTAAGTTTATTGTGTATTTTTTTTGTGAAGCACGTTGTGATGAGAGAGAGAAAAAAAGAGAAAAAGAGAAAGAAAAGAAAGAGAGGAGAGAAAGAGAGAAGAGGGAAACAGAAGAAAGAAAAAAGAAAAGGAGAGAGAGAAAAAAGGAGAGGAGAGAGAGAGAACCAGAAACACATGCACACACACAGTCATACATGCACAGACACAGAGAACCAGACACACACGCAAACACACGCACCCAGAACCAGACAAACGTGCACAGACACACACAGAACCAGGTGCACACATGTCTACAGAAACACACAGAACCAGGCACACATGCACACGCACGCACACACACACACACACACACACACACACACACACACACACTCACTCACTCACTCACTCACTCACTCACTCACTCACTCACTCACTCACTCATACACATGCACATGGCTGGGCTGCTGGGTTGCAGGACAAAGACCAACCTGACAATGCCCCAGCCCAGCACAGTCCCTGTGCTTCCCTAGGGAGCTGGCTCCTGGGCTGCAGTGCAGCCTGCTGAGGCGCCAGCCCCAGCCCAGAGCCACCCATCAGCCAGCTGTCTTCTCCCAGTGGGGGGATGCTGAGCAGGGCCCCCTGCCTCAGGACTGCAGCCGTGCTGCTGCTGGAAGGCGGGGATGAGAGGGGAGTGGGGGCAGCACAATCCTGGCCCTGCTGTTCTCACTTTGGCCAAGAGGTCTTGATGCAGCTGCAGCAGCTGTGAGAACCCAGGGCAATGCTGCTGGGAGGTTGGGAGTCTTATAGCCATCCCAGAATTCACCTTAGCACCCCACTGTAGCCACCCCTCCTAGTGCTGCTGCCACCTGCCCCACGCAGCTGAGCCCGCAAAGGTGCAATGCTCCAGCCAGGGGTGGTGCCAGCCTCTTCCCAGTGGGGCGGCTGGGCTCGGAACTGGTGGGAGCAGGGCGGGCTCAGCTGCACAAGGTGGGCGAGTGTGGTGGCAGTGGCAACACTGGGAGGGGTGGAGCCTCCCAGCCCAGCCCAGCCCAGCCCAGCCCAGCCCAGCCCAGCCCTCCCACTGGGAAGAGTCTGGTGCCACCCCTGTTCTGGGGCCCTGGTGTCAGCTTCCTACCAGCGGGTGCACGTGCATCTCAGAGTGGATGGTAGGGGAGGGGCCGGGGTTGTGCTGCCTCAGGGCTCTCCCCCGCCATCTGATCTGAGGGGCACATGCAGCTGTTGGTGCTATGGAGCTGATACTTGGGCTCCAGAGCCTGCCACAGGTTTGCAGCCTCCTGGCTGCTTGCTGGGAGCAGCCTGGGCTCGATGACTGGCAGCAGCCGCCCAGAGCCCAGACCAGTGGTGGCATGCTGAGCAAAATGACCTCACGTGCCATGCTCTGGCATGTGTGCCAGAGGCTGCCAACCCCTTTTCCAGACTTTGCTGTAGGTGAAACAGCCTGATCAGTTATAGATGTACAGGAGTGTTAAGGACTTAATGAAGAAAAATTTATTAGGACAAAATTGACTTTGAACTGAATTCTGTATTTAGTGAAGAGGTATTACAGAGAACTGAGCACTGGATGATGTGTTGATACAGAAGTCCGCTGCTATAATTTGTACCAGCTGGAGCTTTGCCATGATGTGTGGCTTTGTTCTTAGATACAATAGCCTAGCTCTTCCAGCATAATGCAGCTGCTTTGTGCTTTTCAAACAGCATGCTTGGCTACTTAGGATTACCAGAGTGATTCTTTTCTCATGGTATAAAATTGCTGCTGGTATTGGGCTGTGGCCATGGTGAAAAGGACTTGTTTTTACCATCTCAAACTCAAGAGTAGCACCTGACAGTTCTTGGCCTGAGCCATGAGCTTGGGGCTGTGGCCAGCTATCTAGGCCAGTGAGCTACCCTGCCCAACTCTGGAATTCATAAATGTACAGCTCACTAGGAGCAGGTTTTCTGACTGAGAGGGTGGGATTCAGTCTAGCTGGTCACAAAGCAGTCTGTATATTGTTAGAGGGAATGAGCACCAAGGAGTTAAAAAGGACTCCCAGGCTGCTGCAAGGAGAAGGTGGTGGTAGGTCAGCTTGTTCCAAGTACAGTACCTGAGAGTATGCCAGGCATAGTCACAGTCTAGAAAGAATGTTGGAAAGTCCATCAGTGACTAGCACCTGGTGGTAGAAAAGGTCACAATGTCTCTGCCTAAGTAGCTTAAAAATTGTTACAATGAATAGATACAGGTATATATGCCAGGGGGGAGCTGAGGAGGAGAAGGGGATCCACAGAAAGTTAGGGTTTCTTAATCCTATTACTCCTTTTTAATCAATTTCTCCTTTAATAACCAGTGCTTGTGCATCCTGTAGTTGCTTTAACCCAAGTTCAGTTTTACAGCCTGTCTCACTTGGTTTCCATTCACATTATTCTTCTGTGCCAGCGCAGCAGCTCCCACATGACTCCTGCCTGCAGGCTACTCTGCTGGGCTGGTTCCTAACTAAAGAGACAACTCTAATGCAACACCTCATGTCAGGTCCCACATCTCCTCCAAATACTTTGGCCCTCCCAGGTCCCCAAACACATTGCCTCATCAATACACTTCTCACCTACTGTCCTTCTACCTATAACCAACCTTTCTTCCTTCAGCTGATTCACGGCCAAAGCACAGATTCATCACCCTGCACCTTAATTTAAACTAAGGACAAATAAGCATTTTTCTTACCAGAATTAACACCTTGGTTTTGCCTGGCTTTAGGTTTAGCCAGCTGTTCTTTGAGGTTCTGCTATCAGCTCAGGGTAGACCACGTATTCACAAGATGGGAAATGTTGGCATCTATTTCTGATATAAAAAGAAAAGATGTCTTCTGTATCCAAGTGGTATCTCAGTCCGTATTTTCTCAGTGTCTTCACATTGATGATTAAGCATTGAGGGATTCTGCAAATGAAGTCATTACAGGTAGAGAAAGAGTTAACCACTACAGTCTTTTGGGTTTGATCTGAGCAGCACGTCAGGGCATTCCTGTGGCTGTTTGGAAGTGGCAATAGCTGGTGATATACCACAGAAATGAAGCAGGGTGAATACAGATCTATTATTCACTGTTATTCACTACAGCTTTGATTCTCAACCTTTTTAGACTCAAGGCACTTATCATTAGACAGGTGAAGTGAGCACCTGTCAAAAGACGCCAGCTTTTAGCTTTCATTTGTTTTTTGATGACAGAAAAAATAATAGACCAATTCTGTTGCAAAGAACTCAGAAAGACCATAATAGGTTAGAATGTTTTTAAAGCTATTGATTCCTATTTAAAAATCTCTGGGTTTATCTTGTAAATCATATGTAGGTGTTTGCACATCTAACAGTGCTATTATTTCATGGGACCCTTAAAAGGCTCTCACCCTATCCAAGGGTGCCATACCCTCACTGGGGAAACACTGCTAGAGCAACAGGTGCAGGAGCCACAGGATAAGGGCTTTGGACTGTATATACTCTTAAACAGAGGGATGTAGTTAGCTGTGTTAGTCTGAAATCAGTAGAAGGCAGGGTAGATATGCACTCTGTAAACTAATCAAAGTAGATGTATATAGCATAAGCTTTTCTATAGCTCACTTCATCAAATGCTGTGAAATGATACACAGAAATCAGAGTATACAAAGGAGAGAGAAGTTAGAATACAAAAGGGGGGGCAGGAGAGAGGGGTGGAGAGGGAAGTGCTGAAAGAAACAAGCAAAAATACCATAGGAACAAGAAATCGCAAAAGCTTATCCAGATGAGACAAGAATCTAGGTTTAAACCGTACTTAACACAATCCACTCTGTGGATGATTTCTTGTTCCACAATTTTCTGTTCAAATCAGTTTTTTAAAATTTGCTGAGAACAGCCACCCTCAGGTCAGCAAGTGTCCAGGGAGGTTGAAGTGTTCTGCCACAGTTTTGTGTGCCGTACTGCACATGACATCAAAGCAGCGTTCATTCATTCTGTCCTGTAGGGACAGCCCTATTTGTCCAAAGTAGACAACAGAGGGGCACTGTGAGCAGGTGGTGGTGTATACGATATGGGTGGAGTTACAACTCTCTGCTCCTTTGTCTTTTGTATTATCATTTCTCTCTCCAGCATCAGTGAAATGAGCTTTAGCTCACAAAAACTTGCGCTCTCTTTTTTGTGTTCTCTCTCTCTACTTTGGTTAGTCTATAGGGTGCAAATCTACCCTGCCTTCTGCATTATTAAAACCACAACCATGTACAACACGGGATCTGATCCAGATTGCGGCCTTCAGCTAGGGTAGGCCTTCTGAGTGAGACCACAGTGCAAATTATGACTGGTGATAAGTTGATATGATCTCATTCACATGGAAGAGAAAAAACAACTTATTTGTAGATAGCTTTCTGAACCACATGAATTTTATGAGTCATGAAGAGGGTGCAACGAGTCATGAAGAGGGTGCAATGCATGGAAGTCAGCGTATTTTACCATGGAAAGAGAATTGCAATAGAATTAAGAAAGAATAAATTACTCCAGCAGCACCGAAGTCAAGGGACAGAAGGGTTCTGGCAATGCTCAGAAGAGGACTCATGACCAAGACAGAAAAAGTAGGTTTGAGGGCCCTGATGCCCCTTATATTCCCGATTTTATAGAGTTCAGGAGACAAAAAACATAAAATGTACCAGTGCCAGCATGGGATGCCTGGCTTGTTGGGGGGAGGGGAATTTTGTTACTGGCAACTAAGAGGGGGCTGGTGTAGGGAGAAGCACTTGCTGTGAGGTGAGGAAAGAATTGGCAGTTGCCAGGAAACTCCAAACCCAGAGGCCCTGTGGAGTCTGCTGGGAGCTGGTGACCTGGTGAACAGGATGTTGGACATCCCAAGCATTCGTCCTCTGTCCCTTTCCAGCCCCCTCCCAGGCGTGGAGCCGTGCAGCTGTGGGCCACCTGGGGAGGGGTCCCTGAAACAGCGAGCAAAGTGGAAAGTTGGAAGCCAACCAGGCCGTGGCCGCTGGAAGCAGCTGCCAGTTCTTTCGCCCCACAGCAAGTGCCCATTGCTTACATGACAAGACAATGACCCAACAGCACATGTCCGTGGGCAGCTGGTATAAACAAGCACTAAATAAATGTGCAGTAACCCAAGTTACAGTGCAGCGGTGCCAGCAAATGCCATTTTTGTGACACTACTGTGCACGGCCTAATACTACTGCACAGTCGTATCATGTCACGGTTTTTGCCATGTGACACTACTGCGCAGTATCGTGGTATATTGTGGTACTGCACAGTGTCTTGTGTAGATGCAGCCAGTTAGTGGTGTAGCTCTACCTTGCCTTCTGATTGACTCCAGACTAACACAGCTAATGACATCCCCCAGGCAAGCCAGGCTGAGGCGGGTTGTTTGTGGGACTACCGCTAGCCTGTCAGGGTGATGAGGTGCTGGGGGTTGTTGTAGGCTTGCCAACTTGTTTGAATCCATTCTAGGAGGTCTCTGGAACACCCAACGCGGCCACAACACCCAACGCGGGGCATGCATGACACGCAGCGCGGACTTGTCTGTGTGCTTGCTCCTACCCGTTAAGGAGTACAGTGTGTCGACTTTACATCAGAAAGGCAAATGCACATTACTGTTACATTTTAAACACCTACTGGACCACTGTACAAGTCGGATTCAACATTTAATACTTATTTTAATGAACGCCCTATCATTTTATCTCTCTGGTGACTCTCAGCAGCCTCCTGGAGATGTACATTTAATTCCTGGAGAGTCCAGGGCAATCGTGGAGGGTTGTTGGGGACTGTCTGTCCAGCCCCCAACACGCCCTTAGCAGAGGGCGCTGGTGAAAGGCACTGTGGGAAGGTGGAGGCTGGCAGAGATCAGCCCACCACCCGGGATTTTGCAGCGAGAGGGAAGGGAGGTCCTTCGGGAATGAGCCCCCAGACCAGGCAGGGAGAGTCCTGTGGGCTGACCTCCCTCACACGCGCTTCCAGGGAAGGGGGAGTCCCGCCCAGGGCTC